TATATATATATATATATATATATATGTAGAATACATTTTTATTTATATATATATATACTTTTTTTACCTTTATTCATTAAAAAGATTTATATCATTATCATACACAGCAGTCACAAGGCATTGCATTTAAAGTCTATTTATTGAAACTTTGAATATTTTATTTTCATTGAACAACATACAATATAATACAATTATTTAAGTAATGGTGACATAAGTCATTACAATTCAAGTCTAAGTTTAGGTAAAACCTGAAAACCAACGAAAGAAAACATCAATATTTTTAGACCATACACAATATCACATATCTTTTATTAAATGGTAATGTGACGCATGTTTGCTGGTAATAATGCCATAATGCCACAGTCCTACCTGCCCTACTCTGCATTTCTTTTTAATTTTATTTCTTAAAGGAGACATATTATGCCCCTTTTTACAATATGTAATATGTGTAATATAAGTCGAATGTGTCTGTGAAGTTTCAGCTCAAAATACTCCACAGATCATTTATTATATCATTTTGAAAATGCCTATTTTGAGTGGAAGCAGAAACACACTGTTTTTCGGGCCTGTCTCTTTAAATGCAAATTAGCTGTTGCTCCCCTCCCCCTTTTCCAGAATAGAGCTGCGCCATTACAGCTCAGACCTGCTAAAAAACATCTGTTTTGGTTCTGATTATCATGTTTATCGCGCTGAAATCATGCGTTTTAAACCATATTAGTTTAAACTTCTGATATATGTTTTCTGAGCGTAAATATACAGCAGCAATATACACTAAATAAATCAATAAATCCACTGCTCTCTTGTCTCTGAGGCTGGCACTTTAAATAGTGTTCTGTGCTCGTCTGTGCAGCCAAAGACAGAACAGTTAGCATGCTTTGCTCAAACTTTCGCCATGGCATTACACCATTGTCGCTTGCGAAATCAAAATGACGGTGCCATGGGTGAAAATTTACAGTGGTAATATTATAATGAGATCCCTTTGCCACGTCACGAAGGGAGCGAAATCAGACGCGCTCGTTTTTTCAGATGCTTGCAGAAAAAGGCTTATCAAAACAAAGTTACTGGGTTAATATTTTTCACGTTTCCTTGGTTGGTAGATGCACCGGGGACCTGATTATAGCACTTAAAACCTGAAAAAGTCAGATTCTCATGGTATGTCACCTTTAAGGTAAAATCTACGTATAGTTTCAAACGAGATTCCTGAGTACAGTACCAAAATATTTGCACTTGATGAGGATGCATTAATTCCACAGATCATGCTTGACCTAATTTTGCCTGTCTAGACCTTGGATTCCAAGCTGTATGTGTAAGGGGTGGTTGAATGCAGACATAGATCCAGTAGCAGGTCACTCACAGAGACAGCATAAAAAAGCAGAAAGCTGAGCTTGTGTCTCATAGTGAGCATCACTGCTATAGTTGTGAATTAGAGTGTTGGCAGAAATATCTTCTGGTCTCTTACATGATTGTATGTAGGCGTTTTGTGGGCTGCATGTTTTCTTATCTCACAATATGCTGCTTAGGCAGTTAGACCGTAAACGCATATGTTGCCTGCTTGTCCAGTGCTGGCACATAGTCTGTCAAAGTCTATGACTTCAGAAACACAGCTGAGTCATATCAAATCCTGTTAATGCTGAGAAACATTTCTCTCAATTATTTTCTCACTGCTAAACTTCCTTCTTAATACCCGGCTGACATGAGAAATTTGAACTGATGGAACTCAGTCTAGAGACCTGCGCGAGATGGATTTTTCAGTCCCGCTCCCGCAAGATTCTGTCCCGCGCCCGTCCGCTCCCGCAGAAATCTTATTTGGTCCTGCTCTTGATCTTATGTTTTGTCCCGCTCCCGCCCGCAAAAGCCCGCATAAAAGTAATCTATATAGACTTTTTCAGTACATCGAAGAAATTTACATGAAATGGTTCTGTAACATCTCCTAAGCTCCACAACATCCCAGCATAAACACTCCCGATAAAATATTTGTTATTTAGGCTCAGCATCAACATTAATAAACCACTGTTATTTTTAACAGAAAAGCAAGCATGGGCTGCTGCATGCATGGTTTGGCATGGCAGAATGCGAGCAGCGCTTCCTTTATTATCACTAAAAGCTGACATCTCAGTTAATCTCTACTTCATAAAGTTATAACACAAATGTATGCACAATGAATCTTTCACAATGTCTACACTTCATGTGTTAAAATGAGAGGATTCGTGAGCACGCAATTTCAGCACTGTGGTTAGTAGATTCTAACTTAATAACCTCTGCTTGGCCATTGTGTTCTAGAAAAAAACCCAGCTGAGTGTGATTTGCTACATTGCGCTACCCTTTAAACGTGTTATAAATAGAAACTATGCCTAGCTTGCGCATATCAATCATTTTAATGTTAATATTAGTTGTTCTTTTTGGTTTTGTACAACAGATAAATAACAATTTATATGTTTATACACTTTATATTTAGATCATTTCTATTTTGCGGGAGTCCCGCAAATCATTT